TTACCAAACTCAAGGTCATAAAGATTTACCCCTTTGTGTTCTTCTAAGAATTCTATGGTTTTGGTTCTTTTATTTAGGTCTTTGATCCATTTTGAGTTAAGTTTTTAAATGGTGTAAAGTAGGGATCCAACTTCATTTTTTTCCATATGGAAATCTGATTGACCCAGCACCTTCTTCTCACCTCCACTTTTAACTCAGACCAAATGTTTGGGGAAAATTTGCAACTCCCCAAAATTATTCCCGATATTGGCAATATTGAATATTTTACTTTCTGAGAATATTTGATTAATTGAATTTTCCAAACTAAATTCCTGTGCAGTTAACTGCTACTTCTTACAAGAAAAGAGAAAGTCATAGGAGAATTAGTACATTAGAATTGGCAAGTAGAAACTATTCAAAAATTTGTAGTTATCGGGGCACCTGGGTGGCTCAGTCGGTTGGGCATCTGCCTTTGGCTTGGGTCATGATCCTGGAGTCCTGGAATCGAGCCCCGCATTGGGCTCCCTGCTCAGTGGGAAGTCTGCTTCTCCCTCTGCCCCTCACCCTGCTCGTGTTCTCTCTCTCTCTGTCTCTCTCTCAAATAAATAAATAAAATCTTAAAAAAATTTAAAAAATTGGTAGTTATCCTTAGTGGCTTAAGAAAAGGGATAAATAAAGACCTTTATTAAAAATAAAGAGACAATCTGAATTATTATTAAGAGATAAGAATGATGAGCTAATGACTTCAAACCAATAATGACTGCTTTCAAATGCTTAAAGGACTATTGTATGGAGATTCTTAATTTATCGACCTTCACAGGAAAAAACCTAGAGAAAAAAATACACTTAACTTGCAATTGGAAAGACTTCCAATTTGACATCAAGGAAAGGCTTTTAATGGCAAAATAATAATGATGATGATAATAATAATGCTTGTGGATCAGCTACCATGTGTCAGACTGTTTTAAGCCTCACGTGGCTGGTTCTATTATGATCAGAGATGAACTTGAACTTGAACCCACTGAGTCCAACACTGTGCCCAGGCTCTTATCCATTATGCTAAATCACCTTTGTTAAAATTGCACTAACATTAGAAAACCTCTCCCTCCTGAGAAAAGCCATTACCTTTCCATCAGCAGAGAACTTCAAAATAGGATAGACATCTATCAGTCAAATGAAATTCATAATCCTGTCACATTTGATGGTATCAGTCTTCCAATTCTTCTCAAACACCAGTTGCTTTTTTACTGCTTTCCTTTTAGCAAAAAAGTCTAAACCTACTCTTGCCTTCCTCCCTTCTCTAAAACACCCAACAGGGTACTTTCAAATGTTTTGTAACATTACATAAATATCTTTTTGAATAATATGGACAAATGCCCAATGACACATGTTATAGGAAAACATAACACTTTTTGTTTTCCCTTTTTAATCTTTGGGACTTTGTTTTAATAATTCATGGAGACATTAACCTTTCAGGTGGATTTGAGAACGCTTTTTATTTAATACAATTTTGTTTGTGTTCTGAAAACCCAAGGACATTGAAGTATTTATTCCCTGCTGAACAGAGAACTGTGCACATGTATCTTTGTTTTCTCTGAAAACATCGCTTAACCTTCATACATTTCCTCAGGGCTCTAGCGTGTGGGCTTACTACATATCGTTCCCTCTGTAAGAGGTAATGTGACATGCTCCAACAGGTGTGCTGCTATAACAATATCCCAATTTTCTTAACCTCCTCATTCCCCTCACACCATTTCCATGATACTCTTTCAGCTGAGTTATAAAGCAGAAAGTAATAATTTTGTAATAGAAAACAAGACATGAAATGGCAAGGATTTCACCTGAGAAATCACAAAGTATATTAGTGGCAGATCTGGAGCTCTGGCCCACAACTTCTGATGATAGTAGAAAGTTAAACGAAGTGATTTTTACTTGGAGAGATTTTGCCTCATCTCCACAGGGTACATTTGGAAATGTCTGGACTACATTTTTGGTTGTCTGAAATGGGGGCAGGAGGTGGTACTACTGGCATCTAGCTCGTAGAGGCCAGGAGTACTGCTAAACAACCTACAATGCACAGGGCAGCTGCTCGAACAAAGAATTATCCAGCCCCAAATTTAATAATGTCACTGTTGAGAAGCTCTGTTTTAGAGTGATGGAAATTCAATTTGAACACTGTTTTGCATCTTATTTTTAAATGTGGGAAAGTGGCTTCATTTTTTAGAATCTGCTTTCTCATGTGAAAGAACAAAACATCCATCACCATAAACAAACAAACCAAACCAAAAAACAGAACTCCCACTTTCTAGGGTAGTTGTGAGAGACCTAACTCAAAAGCACTGAACAGAAAGTGCTGAGTATGTAATGGGCCCAACAAACAAATTGGGGGCTACACCACAGAATTCAATTATAAGACAAAATAGAAGGCAGAAAGACAACATCACTGAAATGAAAAAGAAGGCTCTCTAGCATTCTATCAACTTTTTTAGAATTATTTTTTAATTTAAATTCAATTTAGTTAACATATAGTGTATTATTAGTTTCAGGAGAACTTAATGATTCATGAGTTGCATCAGAGCATGCAGTGTTTATTACATCAAGTGCCCTCCTTAATACCCATCACCCAGTTACCCCAACCCCCAACCACCTCCCCTCCAGCAACCCTCAGTTTGTTTCCTATAGTTAGGAGTTTCTCATGGTTTGCCACCCTGTTTTATCTTATTTTTCCTTCCCTTCTCCCATGTTCATGTTTTGTTTCTTAAATTCCACATGAGTGAAATCATATGGTATTTGCCTTTCTCTGACTGACTTATTTCACTTAGCATAATACCCTCTAGTTCCATCCACGTTGTTGTAAATGGCAAGATTTCATCCTTTTTTATGGCTGAGTAGTATTCCATATTTTATATATGCCAAATCTTCTTTATCCATTCATCTGTCTATGAACATCTGGGTTCTTTCCATAGTTTGTCTATTGTGGACATTGCTTCTGTAAACGTTGGGGTGCATGTGCCCCTTTGAAACACTATTTTTGTATACATTGGATAAATACTTACTAATGCAATTGCTGGGTCATAGGGCAGTTTTATTTTTAACTCTTTGAGGAACCTCCATACTGTTTTCCAGAGTGGCTGTACCCAGTTTGGATTCCTACCTACAGTGTAAGAGGGTTCCCCTTTCTCTGAGTCCTTTGCCAACATCCCTTGTTTCCTGACTTGTTAATTTTAGCCATTCTGACCTATGTGAGGTGGTATCTCATTGTGATTTTGATTTGATGCTGAGTGATGTTGAACATTTTTTCATGTGTCTGTTGGCCATCTGTATGTCTTCTTTGGAGAAATGTCTGTTCATGTTTTCTGCCCATTTCTTGACTGGATTTTTTGTCCTATCAGCTTTTATATGGAAAAGAGCAAAAAAGATGGAAAGAGTTGCAAGATAATTAAGCAGCATCAAGAACATACTAGGAGGAGAGGGGAAGAGATGATGAGACTGGAAATAGAAAGCTGTGGGAAGGATGTATAGGTGAGAGATATTTCAGCAGTGACCTGGAGGGGAATTTGAGAGATATTTAGGAGGAATCAGAAGAATTTGGTGAGCAATTAAAAAGAGTCACGAGAAAGGAGTCCAGGATGAATATGAGATATCCAACTTGGGTGCTTGGGTATTGGTGATGCCATTAAGCAAGAAAATCAAAGGGCAGGACAGACAATAAATTCAGCTGTAGATATATCAAGTTTGAGATGCCTATGACATATTTAAATGATAACAAAGAGGCAGTGAGATATGGAAATCTGGGGAGAAGCTGAAGATTTGAGAGTCAGGAATCTGAAAGCAGCAGTTGAATCCATGGGAATGAATGAGATTTTCTAGGGAGAGAATATGGAGTGAGAAAAGAACAGACGACAGAGCTTTTAAGAACTAGACAAAGAAACCTAAGATGGCACAATCAAGAGGATCAGAACAATAGAAAGAGAAGAGAGAGTAATACGGATGTCAAGGCTGAAAGAGTTTCAAGAACACAAGTTTCAAGAACACAACAGGATCATAGAAAAATTAAATGAGATCCAGAGCATCCAGAAGATTTGGTAGTTGAGTGGTAGTGTTAATTTTAGTGTGCGATGGTGAGCAGAAAAAACTGGACTCAGTGAGTTGAAGAGTAAATAATAACTGAGGAAGTAGAAATAAGGGATAAAGGAAGTTGGGGGCTTGTCAGAGAGATAAGCTATGCAGATTTCTCCCATTAAAAAATGGATAACACTTAAGTACACTTATATGCTGAGATGATTAAAATGGTGAGGGTTGGAGATACAGAATATAGAACCAGGGAAAATGGATAGATCAAGAATGGGCTGTAGCACTGGAATGATCATTTTGAGGCAATATGAGACTGACCCCTCCCTCTAAACTGGGTGGAACAGGTTAAGTTGGGCATGGATGTAAGTCTGGAGGGGTGAGGAAACATGAGTTTGGAGAAGTTCATATTGGAGAGCCTCACTTATCACTGTCAGAATGTAGGCAAGCTCAGCTGTTGGTATGGCATACAGGACACAAAGGGAGGTAGGTGCAGAGAATAACCTTTAGGGATTGGGGAGGGGCATTGACAAAGTAGAAAAAGTGAGTAGAGATTACAGCTTCAAGAAGTGGGTATGTGAGGGCTATCTCAAGGTACCAAAGTCACCTTGGGATTCATATCTAATTTTTTCTAGATCAGTAACAGAATCCATCCATCCTTAGAAAGAAGCAATAAACTGAAGAATTTGTTTGAAAATGGGATAGTGTGTGTGGGATCACCAACCAAATTCCAGATTAAACTGGGCATGAGATAAATTACATCTGTGGACCAATTGTATTATCTCCTTGTTTGAAAATGAGTCCTCAACATCCAGAGTTGAAATTTGAATTTATCTTCCATAATCCCGTAATCAAGTAAGACAGTGGAAATGATCAATGAAATAAAAATAAGTGAATCATGATGACATTGTTTTCTTTTGCAGAATCCTACCTTCTTTTGAACCCAAGTCATGAGTTGGATGTTCCTCAGGGACCTCCTAACTGGAGTAAACAAATACTTAACCGGGATTGGGCGGATTTGGCTTGCTGTTGTGTTCATCTTCCGTTTGCTGGTCTACATGGTGGCGGCAGAGCATGTGTGGAAAGATGAGCAGAGAGAGTTTGAGTGCAACGTTAAACAGCCTGGTTGTGAAAATGTGTGTTTTGATCACTTCTTCCCCATCTCCCAGGTCAGACTTTGGGCCTTACAACTGGTCATGGTCTCCACGCCTTCACTTCTGGTGGTTCTACATGTAGCCTATCGTGAGGGTAGAGAGAAAAGGCACAGAAAGAAACTCTATGTCAGCCCAGGTATGATGGATGGGGGCCTGTGGTACACTTACCTTATCAGCCTTATTGTTAAAACTGGTTTTGAAATTGGCTTCCTGGCTTTATTTTACAAAATGTATGATGGCTTTAGTGTTCCCTACCTTATGAAGTGTGATTTGAAGCCTTGTCCCAACACTGTGGACTGCTTCATCTCCAAACCCACTGAGAAAACGATCTTCATACTCTTCTTGGTTATTACCTCATGCCTGTGCATTGTGTTGAATTTCATCGAACTGAGCTTTTTGGTTCTCAAGTGCCTTATTAAGTGCTGTCTCCAAAAATGCTCTAAAAGACTCAAGTCCTCAGCATGTGAGTGCCACAACCTCAGACATGTTGAATGTGGTGAGATAGGGGCTCCTCCCCTGCTCCAGAATCGCCATTCAGATTTGGCCATGAGCTCACCCCAGCGAGGTGAAACAAAGCTGCTTTTTGATATACAAGAGGGTTAGACAAGGAGAACCTGCATCCTTTCTAAGCAAGACCTGGGCTACACTGGAAAACAAAGGGCGTCAGCCTTTATGTCACTTGGGACATTTTTTAAAATTTTCAATATGTGCTCAGTTGTATACACTAGACAGAGATCTCATTGTTGTAGGATTCAAGTGTGTATGTGAGTTGTGTTTGAATAGTTAATTGCAAATTAGTCTGAAGAAATTCAACAAGCAGCATTCTCTTAAATGCTTAGATCTGTCAACTGGAAAATATAAAATGTGACATTTCTGAAAAATGTGATGGCCTCCAAGCTGAGGTTGAAGTGCTGGCGGTCTTTCCATAGTGGCAGCCGAGGCTCCCCTCACTCAGCCCTGCTTAATCTTTGCAGAGAAAGAGCATGTTGAGGGTGGGGCAGCAGCTAACCAAGGACACAAAAAAGCACACACAGTGACACTCAGTGAGAAGGCCTGGCTTGGGGAAATGACCACAGAGCCCAGGACTCTGCAGGTTAGGGCTCCCTGGATATAAGGGGAGTAGGGGAGAGGGAAGAAAGCCATCATCTGTGGTCTCCAAGTTGATACAAATATTACCGGGAGATATTCTGCTTAAGCCTGAACTAGGAGACACCTGAAAGGGTCACTCTAGAGTCACACGGGAAGGCAGGCCCCATTGAGTACATTGACCGGGAGCAGGGTAGGACCCAGAAAGAGAACATACCTAACTTGATAATTACTTGACACTTCTACCACTGAACATTGAAATACTTTTTAAATTTCTGTATTTGTTGAACCTTTCTATAATCAGGAATTCAGAATGTAGTCTACAATATATCATAGTTTGCCCACAATTTACTAGTACATCTCTCTCTAGAATAGATAATAAAATGTGTACTATGCTGTTACATTGGTGTGGAAAAATGCAAAAAAAAAGATGTTTATTATTACTTGATTTGGAGCCTAGCTTTTAGTTTATTTTTATTTTTTTTCCTTTAAAGAAAGAGAGAGAGAGAGAGAGAGAGAGCATGTGAGTACAAGGGGGACAGGTGGGAGGCAGATGATGAGGGAGAGAGAATCTTAAGCAGGCTCCACGCCCAGCATGGAGCTCGACGTGGGGCGGGATCTCATGACCCTGAGATCATGACCTGAATGGAAATCAAGAGTTGGAGGCTCAACCGACTGACCCACCCAAGCACTCCTTTCTTATTTTTTAAAAAAAAATCACAGATATATCATCTTTGGATTTAATACTCTAATGGATGTGCATTTCTCCAGAATAAAATGAAGTGGTTTTGTTGTCTGTCATTGATATTGTTACTTGACTGCACCGAGTATTATTATTCTGGGAAATAAACTTTTGACAGTTTTAGAACATGACTTGGAACCCTGCTTGGTAAGGATAGCTCAGAAATCATTCTCCACTGGGAATTTTTTAATGAGAAGTCAGTGCATAAAAATGTAATTTTAACTAAAACCGATTATGTCATGTCTTCCATGGCCTTGCCCTCTTCAGCAGAAAGCCACTGTGATACATGCATAATGAGGGTTATTTCTGTCATTATCTACAAACCGTGTCACCAACAGTGGTCATAATCTGTCTTAAAGACTGTGCCCTGGACAAGACAGAGAAAGGTGAACTTTGTGGTTTTCCCCATCTTTCAGTTTATGCCTCAGATCACTCACTGTTGCACTCATGAACCTACGTCCATTTGATATGAAAACACCTCACCTTCAAAAATGCAGGTAACCACTAAAGGACTTAAAGGAATACACCTAAATTTTTGACAGTGATAAGGGGTTAAAGAAGTTCAAGGTTTTTGAGGCCCCGATCATGGTACATAATCTAGAAAATAGGGTTTTAGTGCACAGAACTGGAATGGAGACAATTTTTCAGTCTGAGGGTAAGTTTGCTGCCAAAAATGTTTTTGAGAAGCTCAGCCTTGTAACATCAGTTATGACAACCAGTTCTGCTCTAGGGAAAAGGATTGGTGGGACATTAGCATTGCTTGCTTTCCCACTTCCCTTGGAGAGGAGATGGAAAGGTAACGGGAGCAAGGACTGTGAATGAAGTTGTTTAGACAGGAAAGGGAATGATTTTTTTTTTCCCTCCTTTAAGCTTAGTTTACAAAATGAGTTTCCTATAAGAATACTCTGGAACTTGTCTTGGTGCCAGTGAAGACCCGAAGCATTTGGTTGAGAGAAACTAGCGTTTAAATTTTGGCATCTTTATTGTTTCTCTTATCACTAAAGTAATATTTACTGAGTTGTGATCAATAGAAACAAGACACTGTGCTATGTACCTTCAGAGATCTACAATACCTGCCTCAAGAAAATCTCCACCTTCAGGGAGGAGCACGGAGGTGAAGATGGGGGGAGTATCTCACATCTCACACCATGTCCTGTATTGACAGGGTCACCTTCCTTGACTTGACCCCCCCCCCCACTGGTGCTCAGAAAGCAGATGATAACCTTCGAGATGAAGAAAGTGAGAACCCCAAGTTCAGTCACTTTCTTTCAGGGATCTACATCTAGTAGAAGCAGAGTTAACGATCAACCGAGGTTCTTCCTTTAAACCACTTTCTCACCTCATGAGGCTGCCCAGATCACTAAACAGACATCTTAATTTCATTCAAGCCATTCCTGACCTGCAGGTAGTTTGGCTTTCTAGCACTCAACCCCAAAATCTTTCTGGCTACAAATTTTGTCTGTGGCCACAGGGTTTCTTCTTTTTTCCTTTAAAGAAAGAAAGAGAGCATTGGAGCTGAAGGGAATTTTTTTTCTTTTCCAAGTGCTTGTATGAAAGAATGCCTAGGGTTGCAAGTAGCTACGGTTCCAGTCTTCCCAAGGAAATTAAACCAACTTCCTCAAGACAGAAAGACTGCAAAGTTAAGAGGAGAGGAGAAAAAGGCAAAGACCTAAGGATGTTTGAACTTTTCAGTCCTGCTGTCCCTGACACAGGCTCCCCACTACCCTCTTCCACCCCTGCTTTCTGCAGTTTATATGAAAGATAATTTCCCCACTTTTGCTTGCAACTGGAAGAATTCTAATAAAACCATGTTCTTCATACATTTCTTTCCTGTACAATTAAAAAAAGAGGAGGTCGGACACATCCTTTGTACTTATTCCCTTTCTAGGCATTGAGCAACCTAACTTTGACATGTGTGTATGTATAGAGTGTTTGTGTGAATAGGGTGAGAGATGTGGAAGGATCTCAACATTGGTTACGATAAAGGAGAGGTGAATTTTTTCTTTATAAATCTTTTGTTTCACATATTATTTTCGTTCTTAAAATTTTTTTAAGATTATTTTATTTAGATTAAGATTAAAATTATTTATTTGAGAGAATGAAAGAGAGAGCGAGAGAGAGCATGGGGGGGGAGGGTCAGAGGGAGAAGCAGACTCTCTGCTCAGCAGGGAGTCTGATGTGGGACTCGATCCCGGGACTCCAGGATCGCCTGAGCTGAAGGCAGTCGCTTAACCACCTGAGCCACCCAGGTGCCCCTCGTTCTTAAAATTTTAATAAAAAAATAAAGTAATTAAAAGCCCAAAGTGCCCCATCCCATCACATGCATAGCACATCTTGCCCAAATATTGATGCCAACTTATTCCTAGTTTATATTTTATTTTGTTTGTATATTTAATACTGCACAGAGCACAAAAGAGAGGGTGTGTCCCACCTCTGTAAAAAAATTGGTGAGGAAAGAACGAACCAGTGGTGGAGCATGTAAAGGCAAAAAGTGTCAGCATTCCTTTGGATTTTATGACAAAATCCCAAGGGAGGTGTTCTGGGAGAAACCTACCAGAAGCTCTTTCTTTAGTATAAAATTGGGTCTTTTTTCACAGAGCAAATCTTCCTTCAGCTGTAAGGGACAATGGTGATTGTGGGGAGTTCTGAGAATTTTCCACTGACCTATCTTGTTTCCACTGTGTCAGGGAAATTTTCCTATTGTAAGTAAAGATTACTTTTTAAAAGGCTGTGATGTATCCATATACTCTGTTTGAAAGCAAAGTAAAATGAATTCTGTATGTTACCCCAAATAGGTCAACATTCTCATCTACTTAAAGGTGAAGTATCTGATCCTTCCCCTACTATGAAGATTTAATTTTATATTAAAAAGGAAAAATAATTGTTCAGAGAAAAGTAATATATGTAACTTCTCTTAATTGTCTTGAAAATGTTTTTCAGACATTAATGCCATCAGTCGAGATGGACAGATGGCTGTGGTATAGAATTGTCTGTACAGAGTAAGAGGAAATTGAAGAAGAGGATTCGTTTTCTATCCTTTAGAAAAAGGTCATTGTTGAACTCTGTGCAATAGATTGGGTCCAGAGGAGACAAATATTAAGCAATCCCATTTTCACTTTCTTGCTATAAAAATTTCACTAAATTGATGGTCATCAATCCCTTATAACTAAAAGAAGTATTAGTCATTAGGTTAAACAAGTGCTTTCATTTATAAAGCATTTATTTCAAAGGAGAGTCAGTGCAGTAACTTGAGATTTGACTTTCTATGGATGTCTAGCAAATGTGATAAAGCAATCTCAGAGAAAATGGCTTCTAATTAGATTTGATGATGACATTAAAAACTACTCACTGTGGCTAAGGTGAAGGTTGTCTTATTCATCTTTTCGTATCCTGTATCCCCACAGCTTAGGTCCCTGGTACTTAGAAGTTCAAGGTTTCTTGGGAAAAAAAATCTGTTCCTCTTGCTTCTTCTTCTGTCTACCCACCCATTTACTCTTCTTCACCTAAAAGAATTCTGATTTTGTTGGAGATGGCAATGTCCCCAGCTAAAAAGTCACATTTCCAGGTCTCCTTTCCATGTAAAAGTAGCAGTGTGAAATCTTCTTGTCAAAACAAGATTTTTTGACCGATGCTCTGGGTAAAAGTTAAAAAGTAGGCCTGACCTAGCTTGAATGCATCTTTTCACTTCCCAGCCCCTTCCTGCCTGAGACATCATAGCCAGAGCTGTAGTAAACATCTTTCTACCATGAGGTGACTTTGAGGATGGAAGCGTGAC